AAAAAAGGCATTTTGTTTCTTTCTGCTTCTTCCTTTGTCTCCTTTGCCTGGAGCTTTCGAATCATCAAAAGCTTTTTATTGAGCTTGTCTGCATATGTTTGGGACTCCCAGAGGTGTGTAAGTTTAGATTCCTTTCCTAAAAATCCCTAAAACATAATTGGGAAGCTAAGGTATGAAATAGAAATTTTAATGACAATTCAGGAGGTTCCATATCGAAAAGGGCAGTCAACAGCGAGGACATGAAGAATAGCCCAGAGCTACCAGCTCTGCATCGGCGGGTCCCCAGGGTGCTGCACAGCTGGATGACAGTCAGCATCAGCTCCGATGCCGTCTGCAGGGGTTTAGTTTATTGGGTCTGGGAAGTTGCTTTCTATTCTGTTTTCTCAAAGGTTTCTTTTATTTAAAGAATCATAAATTGGGTTAAACTTCATCAAATGTCTCTTAAAAATCTATAGTGACGTTTTTTCCTTCCACATCTTTTGATAGATTTAGTCATAGAATAGATTTTATTATTTTTAACCATTCGTGCAGTCCTAGAAAAAGCCCCGTAGGTCATTTTTTTTTTTTTTTTTCAATATGCAATGGGACAAGTTGTAGTTTCTGAAAATGGCTTCAACAAGACGTCCCATTTCATCTGCTCTTCCAACGATGTGACTTCTTCTCCCATCGACAGGTCGGGTTTAGGTCACCTCTCTGGGATCTAAATGTGCCATGGCTATAGTTGGAATGACATGATGGGACTTCGGAAGCTAGGTCATAAGAGGCAGTAAAGCTTCTGCCTGCTTCTCTGGAGCCGTGTGCTCCTGAAACCCAGGCATCAGGAGGCTAGGAACCCCAAAAGCCCACAGAGAGCCTCGTGTGGAGGGGAATTGCGGGCCTCATCGCACAGTCCAGCTGGGCTCCCAGCTGACATCCGCTACCAGCACGGTAGCCGTGTCTGTCAGCCATCTTGGAAGTGGACCCTCCAGCTCCAGTGAAGCCACCCTAACTGCTGTGACATGGAGCAGAGGCAAGCTGTGAATGCCATGCCTGGCCCACAACTGCAGATTTGGGAGCAAATTAGAAGATAACGGTTGTTTTAAGCCACTGAGTTTTCAGGAGTTTTGCTATGTAACAATAGATAATTGATACACAATATTTGATTCAATTTGCTGATATTTTATTTAGGATTCTTGCACCCAGTTTCGGAAGGAGGATTGGGAAAAAAAATATATAAATTGTCCTGTTGTCTGCTTTTCATATCAAAGTTATACAACCCTTTAAAAATGGGATGTGTTTCTTTATTTTTTCTTTGTAGTCTCTGAAAGCATCTGAGTATGTTGGAACTTATTTTTTTCTTTAAAGTTTGATTAAAAATAGAACAAACTAATGTAAAAAAGCTGTCAGGGCTTGATGCCTTTCTTATCTTTGAAAGAGATTTTTGTCTACTGACCAGTAGACATGTTAGGGTCTATTCTGATTCCTTATTAATTCTTAAGTTAATTTTTGGTAGTTTCCTAGGAATTCGTCCACATCCTCTAAGCTTTCAAAATACGAACATCGAGGTTCGCTGTAAATGAATTATGTTCCCTCATTCATTTATAATATTGTTTATTCTTTCTCTACGCTTCCCCGATGGGACTTGCCAGAAGTATGTCTATTTGATTCATCTTTTCAACAGGCAGCTTTTCTTTAGCGTTCATCTTTCTGGCTTCTAATGAGAGTGGAAAGAAAACTTGTAAGTTTTCATTTTCATCGCTATATGTCTTCACCTTCATTACTCCTTTCTATGTGACTTTTGAGCTTGCGATTTCTCTCTTGCTCCTTTTTTTTTTCTTTTCTTTTTGAGTGGAAGCCCTAGCTTATTATTTTCAGGCTATTTTGATAAAAAGTGCCTGTCATTCAGTTCCAAATATTTTACAATTTCTCCTTTAACTAGGATGACCATACGATGTCTAAACCAAATTGAGACACTTTTGATAGTGATGTGCTATTAGTAACTATTGTGCTATTAGTAAAGGATGTGCTATTAGTAAAGGATGTGCTATTAGTAACTACACAAAGATGACAGACGTAAATAAGCTCTTGCCCATACAAAGTCAGGTGTGTGTACACCTACAAATGATTTCAAAGAGTGTGTTTTGGTTTTCAAGTGTGTGTCTGTGTCTGTGTGTGTTTGTGTGTGTAAAAAGCAAACACCTGCATTGATTTCTACTGTAATTACGCTGAGGTCTGAAAATCTGGTCTATGTGACAGAATTTAGAATTTGCTGAAACTTCCTTTGTGGTCTAGTAAATGGACAAATATTTATAAATATTCCATAAATATTATAAATATTCCATATGTATTGGAAGCAATCTGTTTTCAGAGTTCTTTCTTGCTCCCAGATCACATTTATTAATCGTATTATTCAGGTCTTCCCTATTCTTCATATATTTCTACTGATTTATTGTTTTCTGATATAGTCCAAATCTCCTGTTACGATTATGGATTTTGAATGTTTCCTCATAATTTTTCAAATGTTGTGCTTAATATCATAAGACTATATTGTTAGTTGCTTATAGGTTGATATTAGTGTATTATCATGGTGAATTCTTCCCTGTATCATTAAAAAAGTCTTTTTACATTTCCTTTAATTTTTAACGTTATATGTTTACCAACTTTCTGTTGGTTGTCTGACCTATCTTATTCTATCCTATTCCTTTATTTTAACCTTTCTGTGTTTGTTTTAGGTGCGCCTTTGAAAAACCACGTAGGCAGACTGAAGTGACGAGACAAAAATACTTCTAATCCGAGTCCCTCCTTTAAACAAGTGCTTAAATCTGCTTCCGTCTGTCATGATCGCGGACACACTTATCTTCAATTCTTTCATCTCATTTTGTGCTTTATAGTTTCCATGCTTGTTTTTTGTTTCACATGTTCCCTCTTTTTCTTGCCTTCTATAGATTTGTTTTCCTTATTTCCTTCCCCCTCTCTACTAGCTTGAACCTTCTAGTACAGAAATACCTCTAATTTTTAAAAAATAAATACTTCACAAAACCCAAGCTACATCAATATCTATCTCTTTCTTTCTTATTACATTGAGAAAGACTGTTAATTTCATATTCTGACCTTTCCTATTTTTTTCTTTTGCCAAATGTTTTATTTCCACCTTGTTTACAATTTTCCCTAAGATTGATTGTCATTAAATCGAGCAGGGGATATTTTATCTAACATTTCTGTGTATTCAGAGTGGGGACAGAGGCTTCTCATGTCAGTTCAGACCATTCCTTGGGTTGAGTCCTTGATTCAGTAAGTCTGACAAATCACTTACCTTGTCTGGGTTTCCACTTCTGGTCACAGCTGGGAGAAACTTTGCAGATCATTTAGAAAAGGAGCCCCCTCAGTTTGCCTAAGACTCTAGAAATCGAAAAGTACAGACAATAAATATTATGATATTCAGGAAAAGTGAAATCACTCTGGTTTGAGGAATCTAGGCAGGGCATTGCAGGAGCAAACATCGATTAGCCCTAGAAGAACGAGCAGAAAAGTTTCTTAAATGCGAGAGTGATGTGATCAAAATGGAAATTTAGTAAGATCGATGGACAGCAGTTTATTAAAAGTGTAGTGAAGTAGCAGAGGTTTTTCTTCCTTGACATGGGAACCCTGCGGTGTGCTGTTTTATCAGAGCTGGCATGAGGAGGTGAGGGTCTCGCCCAGGAAGGTGGCAGGAATTCGGGAAGGAAATGCCGAGTGGGAGACCATCTCCCTCCTGAGAGAGGCAAGGGTCAAAAGAGGTGATGGCTAATTACATACAAGAGGAAAGAAGGGAGGCCAGTGCTGTCCTCAACGACCCCAGCCCAGGGGCAGGAAGACTGGCTGTATTGGGTCTTTCATGAGGGTGGGTATTTGCAAAGCTGCTTCATTGTACAGAGCGTGGTGGGGACGGAGACTTCTGGTGGGACTGGCAGCAGTTAGAACCAGAAGTCCTCCGTTGTGACACTAGGCTTTAAGTCAAGGTGCCTTGTCCTGGCTGCTAATTTATTCATTTGGGGATGGCAAATCCAATCACTGCTGGGAAAGTCACCCATCTGAAGACCAGCTTGAGCTGTCTGTCAGGTCTGCTGGACACGACACAGCAGCCTGCGGATGTGCGAATGAGCGAATGAGAAGCCAAGCAAGCCCTTTTCCTGCGGGCGGTTGCACCTGTGCAGAAAGCAATGCAGGACGATCTCCAAGATCTTAGACTGCTTAAGTCGGGGCGGGAGCGGGATTTCTGATGTCTTTTTCTCTTCCTTCATTATATTTTTTTCTGTGTCATCTTAATTATCGACAGTGAGTACCTATAATTTGTATATCCATTAAAAAATAGTCATTTTCACTGTGGAGACAAGCTACTCTCTCCAAGCCCTACCCGCTGGGCTTCCCCTTTTCCTGGCATTACCTCCTCTAACCTCAGGAAGCTGTCAGGTCACATTTTCCTGATTTTATGGACGCGAACAGAAGCTAGGGAACTTGCTCAGGTCCAGTGGAGGTCTCCCAGGTCCTCACCACTAGCTCGTTGTGGCCCTTAGAGCACGCTGAGGCGTTCTGAGGACCGAAACCTGGCAGGTTCGCTCACCTGGGCCCTTTGGGGCTGTCGGGGCGGGGCCCCGCGCCCAGGCCCCGCC